ATGAACATACATGTGCATCTCTGCTCCTTCCTAAATACCATCTGAAATAACTATAAGGAATTTTGAAAAGGCATAAACCTAAAAGAACACAAAGAATAAAAAAGAAGGCACAGTAGGCAAGAAGAGGGAATTCCGAATATGAAAAGTGGATGGAAATAACTATTTAACAAAGCCAAGGAAGCTGAAACTTAAGCCTGTGGAAGGGAAAGGGAATAAGAAACGAACCATTCATGCCATAGAATCCAAGAAAAGCCCAGGATTGGAAAACACCAGGTTCCTCTGAAGAGGTGAATGTGTGAGGGGGTTGGCCTGAAAAAATGAAGAATTGATTGAAAAGTGTTTCTGAAGAATGGTTAGATTTCTACCTTTTTAGTCAAAAGCCGTACTGTCCAGTAACAACAGAATATGAGCCACATATGTAATTTTACATTCTCTAGCATTCACAATAAAAAAGTAAGAAAATATAGGTGAGATTAATATATGTATTTAACTCTATCCAAAATATGACCATTTCAACATGTTATCAATAAAAATTTTATTGATGATATCTTTTACATTTTACTTGACTTGTCTGACCCACACTGGACTTTCAGAATTTTATTTAGTCTTACATATGAAAAAGCAGCAGAGGATCGGCAGACATTTTAGGAAAGCCACTAACACAAAAGAGACCAAAGTAAACAAAACCAAAATAGAACTAAAACAAAAAAGGTATGTCGGGGGGCAGAAGAAAACTTATGGACTATGATTAATAATACTCTCAGTGACATAGATATTGCATCCATGAAACAAAAGCAAGATGCTATAAGAAACATTAAAATTTAAAGAAGAAATTGTTTGAAAATAAGTGATCAGTCCAGGAAGTTGAACGTCTAAACACAAACTTCAGAAAGACAGAAGTGAAAATTTAATGTGAGGAAAGCATCAAAGAAATAATGAGATAAAATTTTTCAAGGCAAAGAATATGTTTTCAAACTGGAATGGTATCTTAATAGTCTAGGAAAATAAATGGAAGAAACACCCACATCAAGGCACACTGCCCTGACATTTTCCACCACTAGAACTAAAGAGGATCCAGAAAACTTCCACAATAGGAAGTGTCACATACAAGCACAGAAATCAGAAAACAAGGCTTTCAAAATTAATCTAATTTTGGAAATAATCTTAGAATTTTATACCAGCCAAACTATTGATCAGGTGTGAGGTGTGAGAATAGAATAATGCCATTTTACAGTTATGAAAGGTCTCCAAAAACTACCTTCTTTCTTAGGAAAATACTGAGAGGTATGTTCCACCCAATGGGGAAAATAAATAAAAAAGAGGAATTCATGGGTTTTAGAAAACAGGGAATCCAACACAAAAGAAAGTTGAAACGATTTCTCTGGACAAGAATGAAGGGAAAGCACAAGATGACAGCCATGTGACAGGCCTGAAAAGCAGTACAAATTAGAGCAAGAGAAAAAAAGAACCACGGTAGCAACAGATGAAGAAAAATTAGAATCGGTACACTGACAGACCAAATTTACAGATCACACCAAAAGTTTGGGAACTGAAAATTTTCAGTATATAGAAAAATAAGTAAATAAAACCGAGGAAATTTAGCTTTAGAGAAACCAAAAGTTACCGAAATAAGAGAATATTAATCATAGTATAACAATGTGGCAGTCGAATGAATAGCTCCTTGGCCCATGCACACAAGAGACCTCTCCGGGTTCAGACTCCAAAACCATCTCATTGTTATCTTGTCCAACCTTCTATTTTGGATCTTATTCTTCTTTCCTTGGCGTGTTCCCCATAGTGTAGAATGTGCCTTCATTTGCCTGTTCATGGATTTGTTCTGAGCTCCTCATACCCACTGCCACAGAGCAGCTTACCTACTCACTCCTGGAAAGCTGGCCCTAGAGCCCCAAACCTCCCTGCTCTTCTCTAAAGCATTTCCAGGGTCTTTCTGTTAGAATGAATTCCTCCTCCTCCTGTGTTACCGCAGCTCTTTGTTCCTATTTCCAGCATTTATCCCAGTTGGCCTGGTGTCATATACTGTAGTCTTCCTCCCCTGAGACACTGCCCAAACAGGAACACCTGGTTTCCACACAGTCTTTCTGGGCACCACTGTACCAACACCACAGGATCAAGTCTGTGCCTTTTTCTGAATGGGACACCACAATTTCTTTGGCACCTTGAGGTCAGTTTGTTAGACTGTCTCTCACTTTCCCATCATCTATGGTCACTGGCTCTGGCCACCCACGTTCTCTCAGTTCATCTCCATACTGTTCTTAGTAGCATCCTGTCCTCTGACCCACTGCTCCCTAATCCCCAAACCTTTCCTCTATGTCAGCAAGGGAACAACGTTTCCATTCTATACAAACCTCCCTATACCTTCAGATTCAATCTCCTCACAAGCTGCTCCCTCCAGTGTTTCCGTGGTCCTCTCTATGTATTCCTGTAGCACTGCATTTACCATTATAAATTAAGAGAATCTACTCAGACTGTTTCATCCACTAGACTTTAAAATTTAAATGTAGGATCGGGGGCTTATTAATAATTTGAAACAAGTTGTCCCTCCATAAATTGGTTACCAATTTGAACAAACAGTATTACACAATTAAGCATCTGTTAACTACAGATTGCCCAAAGGCTGCAGTCATTTCACTTTCTTTCCCTACTGTAAATTTCTCTGTCGGTCCATTTCCCACCACGCTTCTTCCAGTGATCGTGCCATCAGTACAAATATATGTTCTTGTGGCCACAGGAGGAAAATAAAAGAATGAGAGAACACTTGATACCCAAACACTAAATGGTGACAGGGGGCTGGGAAAGTATGTGGAGGGGAGTGGAGAAGAGGGCAGGTATTTCACCAGGAAACAGTATCCAAGTTAGACAAACGTTCTGCGACCGTGAGAAAGAGGATGTGAAAGGAAAGGAAAGGAGCGGTAATGGAGAATGTTGAAATGGGTCGAGATAAATGAGGCTGTTAAGTATAAGAAATAGAAAGAATGAGTGGGGAGAAAAGTAAGAAGGGGAAAAGGACAGGGAAGCTTTGTATGTCTTTTGTGTGGTATATATATGTATGTGGACAGTGAGGAGCATTCCACTGCCATACCGCGAAAGCCAGACTCAAAAGTACCCCCAATTACACCAGCACGCACAAACTTTGTCTCCTTTGTTTAAGCCCAGAGTACCTTGACACATCTTGGTGCAGTCTTGCCATGGTCCGTAAGGATTCCATGTGAACAGGTCGCTCTTCGCTTCCACAGGGATATTGAAGGAATAATGTACATCAGGGTTGTATAAATTGCCCACACACAAAACCTCAATAAAAATTCAAAGGGGCGTACAATTAATTCACAAAATATGTTCTTAATAGATATTTTATATTTAATAATAAATGCAAAGCACTTAACCATTACAGTTTACTAATATGATTAGAGCTGTCTGATTAACAACTACTGAGAATTTACCTGCAAAATAAGTTCTTCTTGTAGCCGATCAGTACTGTTAATTCTTTCAATTGAGTTGTTCGAACCACTGTATTCAAAAATAGCTCCTTGTATGTTGATTTCTTTCTTGGACATACTTACAACAAAATTTCCATTCAAAAGGAAGTTCCCGTGAGTGTCAGATAATGCTGTAAAAGATTAGCAACTCATGAAATCGTAAGCACCAGTCAACAGTCTAGAACATTTTTGAATTTTTAAAATTTAAATTGTTTTTTTTTGAATTAAGAATGTAAATGAATAGTGAGGAAATCAATTTTATTTTACTGTAAGATGATCTCTAACCCATAAGGAGGGAAACTTCAGCACATTCGCCAAAGATCTGAAAATAAATTCACCCTGTACTTTTCTATCTGAGGTGAGCATCTTCTTCCCCAAGTCTTGTGGCTTCAGGAGGGACATACAGGAAATGGGGAGAGAGAAAGGAGTCCTGTACCCAGCAGACAGATCAGCTACATCAATCCTGCTCATCAATGGCAAGGAAGGAGAGAGCATCCAGGCTGTGGCAACACCCCACTTAAGCTTATCTTGGAAAAAACGTGCAAAGCTTTCAAACTCTAGAGTCAGTGTTCTAAAAGGCATGCAATGACTATATGATTCTCTTTATAAATGTCGGGAGCTTTTCCATCGAGACGGACTCTATCCCTCTGTGCAAACTGTAAAACACTGTCCTTTTTTAATTTTCAAGAGGCTATATTTTAAATTTTACACTCATAAAATCTCCATATTCATCCAATACTTTTTTGTTTGCTTTACTTATACTTTTCAGTGGAACAATAACCTTTTTGAAAAACATTTGTGTGGTATCCTAGGAAACCCCAGCCAAAGTATACAAGTCACCTATGGCTAAACTTCGTACTATGCATAAATATTATTACTACAGCCCTTGAAAAAGCAATCTTGAATGGCATTATTGCCAAATAAATTTGATATTTCTGTTTCTGTATGGACTATTATGACCGTCTTTATATACTACACTGAATTCAATGAAGAATTAATAGAGTTCTACATGTATCCTACAAAATGGAAATTCCTGTATGTAAATCAGCACTTTAGCAAAAGTGAATAGGCCTATTTAAGGGAGTATCGGTTACATTAAAACTAAGGGAAATAAGCAGAACTTAAGAAAAACTGTATATATTTCACTACTTTTAGTTACCAAAGCAAATTTCATAAATATAGATGTTTTATAAATCCCTTATAATGATTTTACATTTATTTTGCTCATTTTAATTTAGATTTTGATATTGCCATTAGCAGTTCTTTTATAAGGCATGTTGATATTTTATTAGTGAACATTTCTAATTTCTAAATATGGGCAGAACCTGTTGTCCATTCCTAAGAAGACACAAATATCTACTCTTGGAACCTAAGAGAGACATTTAAACTATTCATCTACAATATGCTAGCGTATATGCCTTTGGATATGTACCTAGGCGATACTTTTAGCAAAAGAAAAATAATTGCAACTAAATATTGGGCTGTCAGAAAAGTCATGACATATTTTTTCTATGTTTTTTGTTGCAAAAATGCATCATGACTTTTCTGACAACCCAATATAAAGGATAATCAAAATATTTACATTTGATTTTGAGAATTTTTGCATTTTTATAAAGGTGAAATTTACGTAACATAAAATTAACCATTTTAAAGTGAACATTTCAATGGCACTTAGTACATTAACAATGTTGTACAACCATCACCTCTATCTAGTTACAAAACATTTTCATTACCCCTCCACCCCCCCATAAAATCCTGCATCCATTAAGTAGTTGTTTTTCCCTTTGCATTTATCTTCATAAGTCCAAATGTCATTCCTGAAATAAGCTGTTATTATAGATTCAGATCCTCAATTATAAGCATTGATTACTTGGGCCAATACTTCAGATTTCGTTAAGGTGAAGCAGTTACTTTCTGAATTTCAGCTCTACACCACATACTCTAGCACAGTGAATTATAGAGCAGTCAACATTAAAGTATTTCTCAGACAGAAGGAAAAGGTTTGTAAAGAACTCTTTTCATCTTCTGACTTAAGTGAAACTCTTTAAACCTAAACACTAATTTCTAAAAACAAGTAACAAACAAATTCAATACTCTAGAAATGGCTAAAAGGCAATGTACTATGACACTATTTGTTACCATCTAAAAATATGAAACCATAGGTTTCTCTGTCTTTAACTTGAGCTTTTTAAAAAAGGTATTTGAAGTCTTTTGCTACCTGGTAAAAAAAAAATAAACATTTAAGAAACTGTTTAAAACATCTAATTCCAAAGAGGTCTGTAATTAATTTTAGATAAAAAGATAGAAGAGGATTTTATTCTAAATACACATGCAATTTTAACTGACTATAGCTTTTGGTTATCTAAAACACTCATGGGAAAAACTTAAATTAACTTTTCAGAATTTAGTTCCCTATTTTTTAAAACAGGCTATCATGTACAGCTCAAGAAACAAACAGGTAGAGAGAATTAGAGGACTCAAGCTCAGTATGAATCAAAATTGCACATGTGTTCAAGGGGGCTCGTCTTGCTTTCCAAGAACTGACATCAACCACAGACCTCCATGAAATCACACATGAACCACACATTGGCTGCTGTTCACTAGAAATGTTTACCAAGGTAATTGTCATCTTCAGGTCTTCCAGAATAGCTGTGCTGAAGAATCTCAATGTTTGTTGCTCCTGTGGGAATCTTTACAACAACGTTATAACCTGCAATATAATTTTATACATGTTAACTTTCACAAAAAAACAGATGGCCTAGAGGCTGTTACTGCTGAATGACTGAAAAATTTCAATAGCATAGCCAGACTTAATTTCATTTTATCTTTGATAAATGATACCGGTGCTTATTCTTTTTCCATCAATGCCTTATACAAATTACTGGGATGGAGAAAAAGTGGTTATTGCCTCGAAATTGTATACAGAGTTTGGGATTCTTAAGTACATTTCCTAATTTTTCTTCTAAAATTCTGACTATAGAATAAGAATGAAGCTAATACGTGTTTTAACTCCTGAGATACTTAATACTCACATTCATTTTTAAATTTGACTAATACTTTTACATTTTATACTTCCTAATGGCTTTTTATAATACAGGGTGCCAAATGCTATTCACAAGTCCAGAACATATCAAAATAGTTGGTCATTGCTGTATGTGTACAATAGATTCAGTAAACAGCAAAATAATGTGAGTTAATGAGAAACATATTTTTCTTAAGCTTTTAGTTCTAGTGTAAGCAGAAGTTCTTATAGCCACCACCCCCAAAAGTTTACATTATTTTTTAAGTCTACCACCAAATTGTCAAGAGAAAAGTAAAAAGTTTACTTGAGAGAAATGAAAACAGTATTTCTATTTTATGAGACCAAAGTCAGCAACACTGGCACTGCTCAAAAGATGAAGAAACACTGTATTAAATATATGTTTCAAAAAAAGAACGTTTTCCCTATGCTAAAAACACTTATGTTACATAGTTGTCCAAATACTCTCATTTGCTCTAGTGGTATTATTCTAAGTTTTTTCCTTTTCCTTATTAGGATTTTTCCCTTCTATTTAATACATGAATAAAAGGAAATGAATTTTTTCTTGTACACTAACTTTGATAAATTTGAATAAACTTAAAAAGAGGACGTTTAAAAGAGCTTAATCGCTGACATGAAATTACCTTTCAAGTTTTTAGACAGCCTTATTTATATCTCTATAAAGCATCACATTTAAATATAAAGTGATAAATGGTCTAATGATTCTGTATACGCTATATAGATATGGTCTTAGGTTATCATTCTACAAGAATAATTTTAATCCATGATATTTTCTCTATAAAATATTCCTAAAATCCCCACTGTTTGTCTTGGCTATTATATTTTTTTCAAGAAATCAATTCTTAGGCATGGCAAAAGTAACAAGATGAAGGCCACCAGGGGGCAGTAATTTGACAAATGCTATTCAGACCCTGCAAAGGAGCTTAACATCTTTTTCTAACTGCAAACCGATTAATTCACAATACAGTTTTGACAAGATTAAATATATGATCCTAATTTGGTGCATGTGGTTTTACAAAGAAAAAATGTTTTTTCAGTGACTACAGACCAGACTTTGACAATTGTGTGCCACTGTTTATAAAAGGGGATCAAATATGTGTGGCTCCCATGAAATAATGAATCATAACAACTGGAGAAATATGTCAAATCATCTAGTAACTCAGATTCATAAGCATTACCAGAGTATGAAATGTATACTTTAATATAAAAATATAAATTTTTTAAAATTAAATTGCTTTAATTAAAGCAATTCATACTATTTGAACACATGCAAGCATAATTTGAAGCTGAACAATAAAAATGTAAAAAATACATTTTTATATTGCAAGGAAAGTTTTAAAGGTCTGCTTTTATTACCATAGAAAGAAAAAATGTTTCCCAGAAAATTTTAGAATAGAAAATATCTGATATTATATTTTCCTAACAATTTTGAAGAAAAATGAAATCATGGCCAAATATCTATTATATCTGTTATCCAGATACTTCCTGGAAAATCAAATATAATAACAAATCCACATTTAAATTAATGGCTTGATCCTTTACTTTCAATCAACATTTTCAATATATCATCAATAAGAAACACAACAGATAGACCAGGTCATACAAAAAAAATGTGGTTCAAATGATGAAAAGTAATTAAAAGCAAGTTTCCTGGAAAAGTTATAAATATATACATCAGAGATTCTAGGAACAGCAGTAAAAACACATCATTAATATCATTGTCAACTAGCAGGGGATTTACTCTAATAAATGCTCCTAGTAAATTTTTTAAAATCAGATTTGCCTTGAGCAGATAAATGCATTAATTCAAGGATACAAAATGCATTAATTCAAGGATACATCTGGTATAAGATTTAATCTTTTATGTTTAGGAAATTTTTCTTTAACAGTCATTTTTAAATAAGGGTATAGAGTGGACAAAACATTAAGAAACCATTACTATTATACCTTCGTTATATACTCCATTATTACATCAAATAAAAAGGCAAGCTAGAAACACATACACAGCTTACCATAGTGAGCGCTGTTGAAGACCCCTGCCATTGTCCTACATGAGGAGTTGTCCCCACCACACACTCCACATTTGTCTCTCCTGGCCTTGGAGTTTAACACATGATCACAGCCAGCTTGCTTCAAAATACAATAATCACAATCAATATTATAAAAGTGATTAATAATACACATGGTGCTTCACAAAGATCTTTGCACAAATACTCTTTCAATAGGAGAATCAATACAGCAGGATTGTCTCATATCCACTGATCTTGCACATCAGTATTTTCACACATGGTTGCAAAAGCAGTGTTTTTCAAAGGGTCGTCCCATACCTCCTGCATCAAAATCACATGAGGTGGCACTTAAAAAGGTAGATTCCCTTTTAATTTTCTGAATTAAAATTCTTGGAAGTAAAACCTAGGAATCCACATTGTAACAAACACTGACAGTGACTCCTATATCCATCATTTGAAAGCCACTCTTTAACAAAATGGACAAAAAGTATGATTATGTGTATAACATTAAAATAACTTCAAAAAGATGTCTTTCATGATTCTTTTTTTTTTTTTAGCTCATGATATTAGAACTCTGGGAATAAACCCGAATACGTTTGAAAGGAACAGTTTATTTCTCCAGAATTAATATCCAGCATAATAAGCAGTGTTTATGAAAAGATTGAACACATAGATAAAGGTGAAAATAAATGACTTGTCTCATGGGTTTAAGAGAACAGGTGCAGCTCCTGTCCATGCAGATCTGCCCCACAAATCTGTGACCACCTTGGAGGTTAGTACTCTGTTCCATCCTTTTATCTGACATCTAGTGGGTACTGAGTAAATTTTTGTTGCACGTCCAAGAAGTGAGAGACAGGAGTAGAAAGAGGGAGGGAGGATACCATCACTCCTATCACAGAGGGGGATAAAACATCACTACAGAAGGTCACATTTGAAGTAACAAAAGAACTTTACAACCCTTGTGTCCTGAAATTTTTTAAGGAAGTTGACCTCATCCCTTATCTTGATTTTGAGTACCACATGAAAATCAAAATCAGATTTATTTTAAGGATTCATGACACATTCTTAATGGCAGAAAATCATCTAGTAAATGATACTCCTAATAGAGTGTGATTATCATCAAAGGTTGCCATATTGGAATTTACGAGAAAGTACTCCAAAGTAATATGAGGTGTGATCAAGCAATATGGTGACTTTAAACAATCAAAAAAAAATTATTACAGTAAGAGACACATTGCCATTAACCCCCCTCAAAATACTCCCTCTCAATTGTAATAGATAAGTATGATATCGGGGGTGGGAGGGCGGTGGATTGGGGGAGGAGGGTTGTCACTTTGTGAGGGGTGAAAAGGATAACTATTACATTGTTTTGTACACCTAAAACTAATAATAATAATAAAAAATACTCCCTCTCACTTCAAAAACACTTATCCCATGGTTCTTGCCACTTTCTGAAGCAGTTCTGGAAGTCCTCTTTCGTGAGTGTCTCTACTTCATCCTCCATCATGACAACAGTCTGTGTCACA